GTAGAATCCTTGTTCACTAACATAGCCTTGGATGAAATAATCAAATCTCTACGAACCTTTAACAAAAAGTCAGTTGCTTATTGTAATGTGTACTAACTTTGATGTAGAATCCTTGTTCACTAACATAGCCTTGGATGAAATAATCGAAATCTCTACGAACCTTTAACAAAGAGTCAATTGCTTATTATAATGTGTACTAACTTTGATGTAGAATCCTTGTTCACTAACATAGCCTTGGATGAAATAATCTAAATCTCTACGAACATTTAACAAAGAGTCAATTGCTTATTATAATGTGTACTAGCTTTGATGTAGAATCCTTGTTCACTAACATAGCCCTGGATGAAATAATCGAAATCTCTACGAACCGTTAACAAAGAGTCAATTGCTTATTGTAATGTGTACTAACTTTGATGTAGAATCCTTGTTCACTAACATAGCCCTGGATGAAATAATCGAAATCTCTACGAACCTTTAACAAAGAGTCAATTGCTTATTGTAATGTGTACAAGCTTTGATGTGGAATCCTTGTTCACTAACATAGCCCTGGATGAAATAATCGAAATCTCTACGAACCGTTAACAAAGATTCGATGGCTTATCAAAAACGTGTTCAAAACTTTAGTAAACTACATCTCCAAGCCACCAGTTTTCCTTTCAATGGTAATATATATCAACAGCTTGATAGAGTAGCAATGAGGATCAGATTTTACACCTGTTCTAGCATATATTGTTTTCACTAACAATAGTTAAGTAAGTGCTCAACTGAATCCAAACACCTTATTTAAAGATGATATGTGGAGGACACTACAATTATTGACAATGGTTAAGTAAGTGCCCAACTGAATCCAAACACTTTATTTATAGCTATGTGGAGGACAATACAATTATTGACAATGGTTAAGTAAGTGCCCAACTTAATCCAAACACCTTATTTATAGATGATATGTGGAGGACACTACAATTATTGACAATGGTTAAGTAAGTGCCCAACTGAATCCAAACACCTTATTTAAAGATGATATGTGGAGGACAATACAATTATTGACAATGGTTAAGTAAGTGCCCAACTGAATCCAAACACCTTAATTATAGATATGTGGAGGACACTACAATTACTCAAACGCGCAAACAAGCAGAGATCTTTATGACGACACAGTAACATTACCTTTACTGATGAATGTGAGGACAGTAACACTTTACCGATATTAGTGCCTGTGTTTCTAATAAAGTCTGTTCACTGTGTTAGCATAAGCCTACTTTTACGGTATCATACACTCATTTTCATACCTTTATGTTTTTGGTTTAAAAATATAGCCCGATAACATAATGAATGGTAGTTCTACTGTGACTTTTGATGTGCCAAAGAAGAAAGTGACACTGTTCTTTCAGTTTATGGGTTAAAAGTTGTATAATATAAGGAAATAAAAAACAACAACGTGAAATTACCCACAAGAACAAATTAATTGGATTTTTAGAACACACACACACTGAAAAAAAAAAAGAATCAAGAACTGTGTTTTTTCTTAATTTATTTCACACAGAGAATTTTTTTTTCTGATTCAGCAAATAAATGCGCACCAGAGAAGTATTATTTCAGACATTTTTGGGTGTGACAGTTTTTTTAAGATATCTATGTTATTGTTCACTAAATTGTTTGTATGCCCACGATGTTGTTAGTTAAAGGATTCTTAGAAATATATAAGATGTGGGTAAAAATATCAACAATACTGCAGTTAATTCCACTAACTACTGCTAGGGTTTCCTTTGTAACTTACATAAAAAATAAGTGATTTCACCCAGTTTGGTCCATCGGTGACTGAGCTGTAAGCCTGATGGGCTTACAATGCTAAAAATCAGGTTTCGATATCCGCTGTATGCACAGTGCAAATAGCCTATTGTTTAGCTTTGTGTTTAATAACAAACCCAAATTCTTTGGTCAAGTTCTTTACGCTGTGTGTTGCAACAGAAAAAAAACAACATAAAATTACTCAATATTTTTTATCCCACTTTTAGTGAAAAGTATAAAAATCCATAATTTAATGTTTCCAGTACGTAAATGATCTCTTTAGGATGTCTGTCTTATTAATAGAGATACATTCAGTTATTGGAGACCTCCTTTACTTTCAAAACTCTGAGGAAGCATAATGTTCACGGGTGTATTTGTAAGTAGCATCATTGTGATTCGCAGTATAGTTGTGGTAAGTAGTTATCAAACACTAGTCTGAGAAGTCAAAAGGCCCAGTGATGAGACACATAAGAGGTTGGTGCACCGTAAAAAGAAAGAAGGCTTATTAGAGAGGTATTATTAAAAGTTTTGTTTCTCATAAGAAGGCAGAAGGTCTGGTTAGAAGGACAAATCAAGGATTGGCGTAGCTTAATGAAGGACTAGGAAAGGAAAAGGTTATACAAAAAGTTATCAGTGTAATAAAAGTAAGTTTAAAGAAAGGAATACCTGAGCTAGGTAAACTATTATACAAGTGTAATAAAAGTAAGTTTAAAGAAAGGAATACCAGAGCTTGGAAAACTATTATACAAGTGTAAAAAAGTAAGTTTAAAGAAAGGAATACCTGAGCTAGGTAAACCATTATACAAGTGTAAAAAAGTAAGTTTAAAGGAAGGAATACCTGAGCTAGGTAAACTATTATACAAGTGTAAAAAAGTAAGTTTAAAGGAAGGAATATCAGAGCTTGGAAAACTATTATACAAGTGTAAAAAAGTAAGTTTAAAGGAAGGAATATCAGAGCTAGGTAAACTATTATACAAGTGTAAAAAAGTAAGTTTAAAGGAAGGAATACCTGAGCTAGGTAAACCATTATACAAGTGTAAAAAAGTAAGTTTAAAGGAAGGAATACCAGAGTTAGGTAAACTATTATACAAGTGTAAAAAGTAAGTTTAAAGGAAGGAATATCAGAGCTAGGTAAACTATTATACAAGTGTAAAAAAGTAAGTTCAAAGGAAGGAATACCAGAGTTAGGTAAACTATTATACAAGTGTAAAAAATCAAGTTTAAAGGAAGGAATACCAGAGTTAGGTAAACTATTATACAAGTGTAAAAAAGTAAGTTTAAAGGAAGGAATATCAGAGCTAGGTAAACTATTATACAAGTGTAAAAAAGTAAGTTTAAAGAAAGGAATACCAGAGCTAGGTAAACTATTATACAAGTGTAATAAAAGTAAGTTTAAAGGAAGGAATATCAGAGCTAGGTAAACTATTATACAAGTGTAATAAAAGTAAGTTTAAAGAAAGGAATACCAGAGCTAGGTAAACTATTCCTTCCTTTAAACTTACTTTTTTACACTTGTATAATAGTTTACCTAGCTCTGATATTCCTTTTTATTATACAAGTGTAAAAAAGTAAGTTTAACGGAAGGAATACCAGAGCTAGGTAAACTATTATACAAGTGTAAAAATGTAAGTTTAAAGGAAGGAATACCAGAGCTAGGTAATCTATTATACAAGTGTAAAAAAGTAAGTTTAAAGGAAGGAATATCAGAGCTAGGTAAACTATTATACAAGTGTAAAAAATCAAGTTTAAAGGAATGAATACCAGAGCTAGGTAAACTATTATACAAGTGTAAGTTTTTATAATTCAATCTAAAATCGTTTTTTCAACGTATAAGTACGAATATACTTAGTTTAATTTTGAAGAGTGAAGTGTAGTATGGGATTAACTGTATTACATCACAAAGCAGGTTCTGAGTCTGACATCAACAATCTGCTTTTTTCATCCACACAATCACTTTATTACGAATTCAAAAGAAGTGAAAAATTAGTTAATAAAAATTATTTTTTGTTTGTTTTCTTTTCCTAGTCCATCATTAAGCTACGCCAATCCCTGATTTGCCCCTCTAACCAGACTTTCTGCTTTCTTATGAGAAACAAAACCTTTTAATAATATCTTTCTAATATGCCTTTTTACGCCCAAGAAATTACTGTATCGGTAGTAATGTCTGTATGTATTTCATTTCAGCACAGAAAGTGATCTCGACAATCCCTTTCGACCTGATGGAGACCTGAGTCGAGAAGCTGAAACTATTGTCAGTCTCATTAAGGAAGGAAAGCCTATTACACCTACAAAGATGGAGACAGATGATTCCGGACTTGGAGATATAGTTAATTCTCCATTAGATAGTATGGAGCCTCTCATTTCACCTGTCCAAGCCAATGACGTAAATTCTGCCAAGTCTGGTATCAATGGAAAAGCTCCAACTGATAAAACTCCTCTAGAACCTGGAGTTGTGGAAGTACAACATGGAATTGTCGCACCTTCTGATACACAACAAGTGGAACCAGTAGTGATTAAGAAGAACCCAAAATGCAAATGTTGTGTGATCCAATAGGGAGATGCCTATGTGGACTGTTGAAGTTGGTTGTGCGTGAATGCTCATCAAGGATAACAGTCCGTATACGAGTTAGAATAAACTGTTTTAAATAAGAAACCAGCTGACTTTCAAAACAACTTGATATTTCTTCAAACTTTGGCAGCTTCTTCAGGGTGGTTACACTTCACTCTGGAAATATTTCAGTTATAGAGTACATATTACACTTCACTCTGAAAATATTTCAGTTATGGTACATATTACACTTCACTCTGGAAATATTTTAGTTATACAGTACATATTACACTTCACTCTGAAAATATTTTAGTTATACGGTACATATTACACTTCACTCTGGAAATATTTTAGTTATACAGTACATATTACACTTCACTCT